AGTTTAAAATAGTTGAACTCATGCCCAATCCCGTGAATATTCAAGTGAGTTCAAACTTATTCACAAACTTGAGCTACAAGTACTTTAATTTGAATTCAAGTTTTATTTTTTTTTATTGTAATTCTAGAGTGTTTCAATAGCTAATTATTTAACCATCAATTTTTTTATATTTAAAAAATATATATTGTAATACTAACAGCTTAAGCATATGCAGTTCAGCAATAAAAAAGTAATCATAAATTTTATTTGAATATTTTTATTAATATTATAACTCAGAATATGTAAGTTATTTGAATAACCTTTTCAACTTTATTAAGTTTTTAAATTATTACATATTTAAATTTAATAAATAAATATATAATATAATTTTTAATTTTAAACTGAATACTCGTACGTAGTTTACAAGTAATTATAAAAGTTTGAGTTTAATTTTTTTTTTTATCAAATTTGATATTAAGCTTGAACTCGATTCATTTATCAAATGAGTTGAACTCAAGTCTAAGTTTAATTCAAATAACTCATGAATTACTCATGAATTATTCATAAACTACTCTACTTGTTAATAGGCCTATTCATAAACATAGGTTCTTGAGCTTAATTCAGGGTTAGGAAATGAAAAAATGATACAGGTGTGATGTTTTCTTATAGAATAGTTTGTGTTATTTATAACACAACATTTTATAATCAACTTATATATATATATATATATATATAAGTTGAAGGACCCTAGTTAAGTGGTGTTGAAGGACCCTAGCTAATTATTTATATGCATAAATTCTTGATCATTATTAGCAAAATAAAAATAAGGCTCAAATTAATAGAGAAATTTAACAAAGCATATACGGAGTACTACAAACTAGGTTTGACAAGTGTAAAACCAAGATACAAACTTATCTTTGAGAATTCATACGAAGAGAAGAGGCAAGATTTGAATTTCATTATAAAACAAAAATAAAACAACGTTTTCATTTATATATATATATATATATGTGTATGTATATGTATGTATGTATGTATGAATGTATGTATGTATATATAATGATGATACATGTCAATTAAGAGTGTAAAAAGGAAGGTCTAACTTGTTCCTTGGGTACTGCCAGCTGCTTTCTTTTCTAGGAGCCTAAGAAATACCAAGTCAAATGAATTGTTTCAACAATTACCCACTTCATAGCTACCGCCCAATATTAATTACCTTTATTATCTAAACAAAAATCAAAGTTTCTCCCTTCAATCAACGAACCAAAAAATGGCAGACCAACCCAAGTGGAGTTTGATGCTTGTACATCCCTATCGCCCCCTAAATTAGACTTTAATATCCCACTTGATTTCAAAGATATCATAGTCTAATTATACGCGTTCAACCCCTTGATCACCCTCTATTTTCACCATTAGAATAATACTAATGCTTCATTTTAATACTTACTAAAGTCTTAATCAAGTTTTAAAGCTAACAAACTGAAATTTGGCCTATCACAAAAAATTTATCATTTAATTATGGAATTTTT